ACACCGATAAAACAGACATACATAATTAGGCCGTTAGTCTCAATTGAATTGTTTCAAATTAATTTTTCATATCGAGGCCTTTTATAGCGGACTATACGGTATGGGTTTTTCTCATTGTTGAAGGCCGTACGGTAGCCTAAAATTTCTTACATCCACTTCTTTTGATCTTTGATGGATAGTTGTCTCGTTGGCAATCATACCACATCTCCTTATTTTTTAACAAACAATGGCAAAAACAAAAGCTAACACAAAACAGATAGCCTGACTTGATATAGACACAACATGGGGTGTGGTTTAACAAGTTTACGTGCGGTGAAACCTTCCCCTTTAACCTTCTAGACCTTATGTCGTAAAATTAAAACACACGCTAAAACTTGTACAATGCAGCTACCAACATGATGACCACTACTTGAACAAACAATTAAAAAAACATGTTCTCGCTTCTACAGGAAACAAGCTGAATAAATGAAAATAACATTTTTGGCACAATGAAGCTACAGCTGTTGACTGGATATTGCTGCTAAAGAATGAAAAGAAAAGAAACAACAATGCTAACAGGTTTCATGCAGTATAAATGTATCATCATAAAATTCAATTGAAATCGGCTGTATTTGATGATGGTCAAAAAGGTTTTAAATTAAGGCGACATTGGTTTATGCTATTTTTTTGTGTGTGTTACCTTGATTTGTCTTCCTAAACGTCGATAAACTACTGTTGCCTTAATTTATGCATTTTCTTGACTACTTTTCGGGGTATAAAATTCTATAAAATTCATACTAAAGTAAATATACATGACATGAAGTTCTACAAAACTTTCATTACAATGATTGTTTCCGTAATACAACAGTTCATTTTAGGAAATGACTGTCAAAATATCAAAATAATAAATCTGGATGTATAGATCTTTCAATGGTGGTCATTTCGTAATTAAATGTACAATATATAAAAAATGGTATACCACTCACAGATAAGTACAAGAAGTTCCATTACACATAGGCGACAAGTTTATGACCTTTTACATACCAGATAAGATATGTGTTGTGTTGTCAATTATACTTCTAGATTCTACGGGGAGGGTGCAATACACAAAAAAAACTTGTTATTCCCGCAAAAGGATTATTGTACCTGTCCCAAATCAGGAACTGTAACAGTGCTTGCTTTTTTATTTCATGTTTGTTTTCTTTCGAAGAATTTGCTGTTAAAAGCAGATATTTTGTGGTCTTTCAACAAGAGGTTATTAACAACTCGACATTTTGTATTAAATTAAATATTTCTGTGTTGATGTTAGATGTTTTATATTATCTCGTTGGCGTATACTCCCAAAATGTAAATTTTGGAAAGCCTGTGGGCACTCGCCGTATTGCCCCCGTAAATATAAGTCAATGAATGTTATGTCGGTTAATGAGTCAGTTATAAATGACACCAACCTCAGTAACACCGACATTAGTTTCTTGGTCAAGTTAGCTCTCTATCAATGATGTCAATATATTTGACACAAACATTTATCGGTCATTTATGTTTATTTCTCAGACAGACTGTTTATTACGACTTAAAATTTACATTAAATGCGTTGGATGTGTAGTGATTGAATTGATACTTTAGTCTTGAAGAAAATGATTTATTGATTAGATGTAATTCGCTTTTAACTAGCTCCGAGTAATTGCGAGTTCGACAGATTGGCTGTGGAACTATGTAAAGGTTTGGGTCGGGACCACTTTTGAGTTCGTTGCATTTCCGTCAAAACTTTTGTTTTAGTGAACATCATTCGTGCGTTTAGGGGCATCGTCACTTCCTTCCCATTTTGAGCGAGCGGTTGAAAAAAAATATGATGCTATATTACATGAATTATTCGGCAAATTAAATTCTTATAATTGATAATCAGCACTGCTGTCATTAGGGAATTGTGATTAAGTACCTACGGAACAAACATTATTTCTAGTTTATCCTGCATAATGACGATCATGAAGAAGCTCGATGAACTTTAATAGTACAGGGATACAGGGCCGGCCCCTCTCTCTGGTAAATGACGTCATAAAGGTGCGCATAATTAACTAACTTTTCCGGTAAAGGAAATTACACGAAAGTGGTCTAATGCTATATGATTGTGAAAAGTAAAATAACTAAAATACCGAACTCCAAGGAAAATTCAAAATGGAAAGTCCTTTATCAAATGGCAAAATCAAAAGCTCAAATACATCAAACGAATGGAAAACAACTGCCAATTTCCTGACTTGGTACAGGCATTTCCTTGTGAAGAAAATGCTAGAAAAATGTGAGTGATTTACTATGTTGAAGTTTCTAGTGTTTTCAATTTAAGATGGTCAATCATGGAAGTGACGCTACTGGTATATGTTGGTAACGTAGCGTGCAGCCCTTCTCTGTACTTTTTCGATATTATTTTTCTGTTTATGAGTGTTCAGATCAATTGCAGGTCACCATAGGTCATCCTAGCGTAGCTTGACCTCTATTATTACCTAGGCAGGGGGTTCGGGTGCAGCCCTTCAGAAGCTATCGAGATTTTGCAATTTCAACAAGAAGAATCTATCTGTTGTATTTTATTTCATTTACTTTTTTTTTAATTTATTTACCAATGTAAGGTACATTTTTGTGTTGTTGATAATTTTGGTTGGAATGGATTCTTTCATGATTTTCGGTACCTTTTTCAAAGATTCCCACAGTTGATCAATTGTAAGTTCATGCAATTTTTTCCTGATCTATGTTAATTAGCTTTTCTTTGATCTGTTAAGTATTTGCTTTAATGTATAAACATACTTTTCTATGTGTTTTTTTAGCCCTTCAGGGTTTTGAGCTAGATTCAATATATACCCTTTCGTGGTCAGATATCCTAGGAATTACTTTATTTTTATTTACCTGTGAGTTGTTATAAGTAAAACAAAGATCGAGTGTGGACTGTTTCTGTTATGTCTGATGGTGTTGTTACAACTTGTTCGAAGTAGTTGTCTTGGCATTACCAATAAGTGGCCGACATTGTTTTGAATTGTATGCCTTTTTTATGGGGTAGTTATCCAAATCAATTCCCTTCAAGTTAAATCTGCTCCCTAGCAAAATGTGACAATCATCACTGCGCCTTATTCTGTGTAATGTGTTAGATAATCCTCTTCAGATTTATTTGAAGGTTTGTAAAAACTGCCTTAAGAAAATCGGGTGACCATATTTTAACCTTGTCCAACAGTTGTTCTCAAGTATCATCAAAATTTAGGGCAGGAGGTTGTGAGATGAAATATTTATTAGATATTAGAAAAATACCCTACCACGTGAGTCTGTTTTGTGGTCTTTTCTGTAGTCAATGTACCCATGTGGAAAACCTCGGTACAAATATACTAGTACGTCTTTGTGCAACTATGATTCAGTACCATTGATGTCTGGTTTAGTTGTCTCAATTGGATTTTCTATATCACATTTCTAATCTAATAGTTTGACAGTTTACCACTATCATTTATAGGAAAGAGTCTGATATTTAGCGTAAAATTACATGTTCATTGAGTTCATTTGTGAATAGGGGAAGATGCAAATCTAGCTGTTGGACTTTGGACTTGCTATATTGCTTTCATGAAAGGATGAATTGATGGAAGATTAAACATTGTACGTATTTGTATTCATGACTATTGTTGTACCAAAAAGACATGTGAAGGAGTTTGGTAGGCCACAAAGATCGCATTACTGCTGTACATTGGTAAGACCTTGATAGACAAGACTGCTTATCCCTATGCAATCTTTGTGAAACCAATCAGTTTTCCAAGTGACTTCTCTATTGCATGATCCGCTACGAAGTTTAAGTGGTTTAGATGTTCCCTTTGTGTCTGATTTAGATGTTAATACCGTACACATGACTGGTGACAAATAAGGATACAAAATTCGTTTTTCAAAAATTGAAGACTACATTTGTCGTGATATTTATATCTTTGTTTAATTGTTTTGTTTTGTTTTGCTTCATTAAATGTGAAAGTAAATGGGAATGCATCATGAAGCGTGTGTTTATAGCTCGAAATAATATAGATACAACACAAGTTTTGTAACCTGTGCGTAACTTTGCTTTTTACGAACGAAGAATAAAATTTGTAAGCAATTGGGAAAATAGACCCATCCCTGGAATAATACCTGTTTCTAGGATTCTAATAGACCTATTACACCTATCTAGGTCGGTACTTTGCTTTTGCGCCAATTGGCATTTCATTTGCGCCAAAAAAATCTTTCATTTGCGCAACAAACCATATTTCATTTGCGCCTAAAATTAAACATTTCATTTGCGCCAATAAAACAGGTATAAAGTGAAGAAAACTCAAATCGTACAGTCGGCTGTAAACGGCTCCGACATGAAAATATGGAACAATTCAATTGAGAAAACTAACGGCATGTTTGTTTTAGAATTGACAATATAAAAAAAAGAAGATGTGGTATGACTGCCAATGAGACAACTCTCCACCAGAGACCAAATGACATTGAAGTTAACAACTATAGGTCACCGTACTGCCTTCAACAATGAGCAAAACCCATACCGAATAGTCAGCTATAAAAGGCCCCGAAATGACATATGTAAAACAATTCAAACGAGAAAACTAACGGCCTAATTTATGTACAAAATAATGAACGAAAAACAAATATGATACACAGAAACAAAATGTCCATCTTGACACCTCAAACATGTGAATTTAAAACCTAAGTGAATCTCAGTTTTATATTAGAAATGAGTATGGACTCACTTAAGTTACACAGGGGGAATACTCTAAAAAAATTCTTAATCACGATATAGCAATGAATATTTAAACTTTTCCGTTATATGTTACCTGTAAAATGGCGCAAATGTAGTTTTTATTTTTGGGCGCAATTGAAATATAACCTTGTGGCGCAAATGAAAGATTGGACTTCCAAAAAAAATGGCGCAAATGCAATGCGCCCATCTTGAATTACATAATGATCAATGTCTTTTAGGATTTGTTTCGTTTGTTCGTTTTTGTTTTACAATTAATGAATAGTAAATCTTTCGGTCATTCTTTTATTTTAGAGTATTAGCTTTCAATATTGATAGTGGGAAAACAGAAATTACCATCATATTTTTTTTCCAAATGACATATTTCAATACTTAGTCATAGAACGTACACATACAATGGAAGTGTAATAAAAACACTTATTTTGATAAAGTTGTATAAATAAAAATGTTCGCCATGAACTAATTCGTTTGCGGAATAAAAACTGTCTATATCCTTTCTATAGTAACTTATAACTGGTGTGTAAAATAATCAAAAGGCGGTTCTTTGAAATAATGACAAGACTTAAACCTCAGAAATCCCTTTGGATAGGGAATGTTGTAAAATGATTTGTTATATGACCTGCTATAAAACATAGTTATTAAAAACCCATAGCACAAGCTCGTGTGGCCGATGGTACTATAGCTAATCTTCCTTTGTGCTGCAGTAATAACGTATCAATGACAAATATATATATATCTGTTTTTGATACATCATGTAGTCCGTGGACAAGCATTCAATGCTTTTTCTACTTTATGTATTTTAACCGTTTGGTTTTCATATAAAGGAACCGAAAAATAATTATGACCTAAAAGGTAGCTTAAACTCATATAACAAGTGTTTGAAACAGTTGGTGAAAACTCAATAACGCATGTTCTATTTTTGGATGCAATTAGGTTTACCATTCCGGCACCATGAGGACCTATTACAATGGAAGCCTTTGAGAAACGTTCTAACTGAAGAGTTAATGATGGCAATGAGCGATCATCATGCAGAACAAAGTCTAAATCCACTTCTTTGGCAAACTTTTCAACTAAGCTTTGAATTTCATCAAAATTCGGCATCATACGTTTGCGAGTTCTTTTTATTAACAAGATGCTTTGTTTGTTTAGAGGAATTTTAAGAGGAATACTTTTACGCAGCCATTGGAGCTGATCTAATGACGGACTGCCACATTTTGCCATTTGAGGAACAATTAATGTATCTGCAGATATGGTTCCATGGATTACCCGATTTTTATTCACGCCAATCAATTTAAGCCATTGCATTACCCATTCATTTTTTTCAGAAACGTGGATGAAGCTATTTTGTTTATTGTATTCTGTTATATGTGCTAAACCAACTAAAGCCTCCATTGGAAAGTGCCATATTCCTTCACACCAACGTGCGGCGATTGTTATAACACTTCGGTATCGTGTAACCAAAAACTTCCGAACAAGTAAGTTTGTTGTTGTCTGGCAGCCACCATTTCTCACCGCAAGGTCATATTTACTGTCTACGATCCAACCATCAGACGACACAACTACGTCATTGAATGTTGCTATTCTCCCGCCAAGTTTTAAACGAGTATCTAGTCCGTGCCATGCCTGTAACTTCTTTTCATCATTATCATTCAATATTTTACCAAGTTGTCTGTAGACTTCTCTGTGATTTTGTTTTAGACTGAGTATATTTTCTGAGTCTACTGTCACACTACCAACTAATTGAACGGGAGATGAAGCGAATTCTACAAATGTTACATTAAACCAACTCGGATTGTCATTACTCCAAATAAATGGCGCATAATCAACGGAAAGCCTTCGGAAAAATATGTTAAACAATATTATCAATGACAATAACAATAAACAGCAAGCGGTCAATGTATGATGCTGACGTATTTTACTGTGGACCTTATGAATAAAACGTTTCCCATCCCTTTGTGATAGAAGACCTGTAAGGCAGCCGAACATATCCAGTGTATCGATAAGGAGTTATTTTGGACATGGAAATAACCATTGCAAACATCACATCTGAAAAATAAACCATCACCTTTTATTAACAATTATATATGTTCCACTAGCTTTTTATTTGTCAAAATGATAGGATAGTGGACCTCCGGAAAAGATTTATTCCACCAAATTTTGTAAATAATTCATATGAAGCTAAAATATGTGGTATGCTATGTCATACAGAGTTACTTACAAACTTGCCTTTGTTTATTAAAATAATTTGTCCACTGTTTTAAACTTGGACTCCAGTATCCTCTCTACCCTATGTTTTTACTGTTTTTTTGTATATTGTATGATATTATGTATTGTGTTTGCTTATGTTGCACACTGGTGTGCCTGGTATGTTGGAAATAAAATCTTGAAAAATCTTGAAATCTTGTACCAGTGACATGAGATGTGAATAGGCTAGACTCAAGCTAGCAGCCACTCGCTAGCAGCCACTCCGCTAGCAGCCAGTTTTCAGGTATGTCTATAAACCCAAAAGTTGCATAAGATTCAAACTAACTAAAACTTTTTAATTTTATATTACCACTACAATATCTGTTTTAACTTCAATTTAGCCGTCGAAAACACTTTTCAATGAATTTGAAAATTTCATTTCCTGTTCAATATGAAAATTTCATTTCCTGTTCAATATTTTAAAAAACAATAGTATGTGCTTTTAACATCGTGCAGGTGCTGCACGCTTAAAGACTTCACTTCAACTGTCAACACTGAAAAATGACAGTATTTAAATGTTGCCTAAATTTTCTTGTTACATGGTATCGACTTTGCCATCAGAAAATATTTGTGCGATATTGTGTGTAAAATAGTTCCTAAAAAGTAAAAATATTTCTACGCTTCGAGAATACAAAGTTTAGTTCGTACTTTTAATACTTTCATGTCAAACAAATCTGTTTTAGCGAATCATTCTTTTTCAGTAACAGTGGGTTTCGCTTAGTTTTGATGACACACAGGGTTTATTTTTAGTAATCAAAGTATGGTGTGCAAGGACATAACTAATTAATTATATAACAAATTAAAAAAAAAAAAAAAAATCCGTGCTATACCCCACCTGGATTTTTCAGTCAAGCATGCCTAAGGGTCCCAACTTTCATTTGCACCTAGTGTGGAAAAAAGTATTGCCTCAGAATTTTTTTTATAAACTTTGAAAGTTAGGGTAGGGTAGGGTGCCGGACCCCAACTTTGGATCAATTTTTAAAAAAATCCGTGCTATACCCCACCTGGATTTTTCAGTCAAGCATGCCTAAGGGTCCGAACTTTCATTTGCACCTAGTGTGGAAAAAAATATTGCCTCAGAATTTTTTTTATAAACTTTGAAAGTTAGGGTAGGGTAGGGTGCCGGACCCCAACTTTGGATCAATTTTAAAAAAAATCCGTGCTATACCCCACCTGGATTTTTCAGTCAAGCATGCCTAAGGGTCCCAACTTTCATTTGCACCTAGTGTGGAAAAAAGTATTGCCCCAGAATTTTTTTTATAAACTTTGAAAGTTAGGGTAGGGTAGGGTGCCGGACCCCAACTTTGGATCAATTTAAAAAAAAATCCGTGCTATACCCCACCTGGATTTTTCAGTCAAGCATGCCTAAGGGTCCCAACTTTCATTTGCACCTAGTGTGGAAAAAAGTATTGCCTCAGAATTTTTTTTATTAACTTTGAAAGTTAAGGTAGGGTAGGGTGCCGGACCCCAACTTTGGATCAATTTTAAAAAAAATCCGTGCTATATCCCACCTGGATTTTCAGTCAAGCATGCCTAAGGGTCCAAACTTTCATTTGCACCTAGTGTGGAAAAAAGTATTGCCTCAGAATTTTTTTTATAAACTTTGAAAGTTAGGGTAGGGTAGGGTGCCGGACCCCAACTTTGGATCAATTTTTAAAAAAAATCCGTGCTATACCCCACCTGGATTTTTCAGTCAAGCATGCCTAAGGGTCCCAACTTTCATTTGCACCTAGTGTGGAAAAAAGTATTGCCTCAGAATTTTTTTTATAAACTTTGAAAGTTAGGGTAGGGTAGGGTGCCGGACCCCAACTTTGGATCAATTTTAAAAAAAATCCGTGCTATACCCCACCTGGATTTTTCAGTCAAGCATGCCTAAGGGTCCCAACTTTCATTTGCACCTAGTGTGGAAAAAAGTATTGCCTCAGAATTTTTTTTATAAACTTTGAAAGTTAGGGTAGGGTAGGGTGCCGGACCCCAACTTTGGATCAATTTTAAAAAAAAATCCGTGCTATACCCCACCTGGATTTTTCAGTCAAGCATGCCTAAGGGTCCCAACTTTCATTTGCACCTAGTGTAGAAAAAAGTTTTTTTTTAACTTTTTTCCACACTAGGGTTAAGAGGGGATATCTGGTATGCACGTAGTCTAAGTAATTACTGCGGGTTGTTCAAGACGAGATCGAGATTCTCCACGTTGGCCTCGGAACCGGACGTAGATAAAGTAGAAATTGCCTCTAAAATGCTTTCAGCACTTATGCCCTTGACCCATACGAGCTTTGTTGATTCATGTATCATTGTCATTTTGCTTAGTTTCTTCTGTTACCTATTCTGACATCGGACTCGGACATATTTTAACTGAGTTTTACTGTGCGTTTCTTTATTCTACATTGGCTAGAGGTATAGGGGAGGATTGAGATTTCACAAAACATGTTTAACCTTGCCGCATTCTTGCACCTGTCCGAGTCAGGAGCCTCTGGCCGTTGTTAGTCTTGTATTTTTTTTTTAAATTTTAATTCATTTATATGTTTCGGAGTTTAGGGTGATGTTCATTTTTACTGAACTAGTACACATTTTTATTAAGGGGCAAGCTTAAGCCCGCTTCTGGGTGCGGGATTTTCTCGCTGTGTTGAAGACCTGTGATGGCCTTGAGTCTGCATTCTGCTCTTTGGTCGGGTTGTTGTCTCTTTGACACATTCCCCATTTCTATTCTCAATTTTACCAGAGGTAGACGGTGACATTGCCTCTAAGATGGTCTATAATATTGATGCCCTAGACCTATACAAGTTTGTCAGCATAGGGTATTTGGTATTAGGTATGTCAAATAATCAGCATCGGGTGGGGGAACTTGGTATGTCACATAGTCCGACTTTACTATTGCAGGATGGCCAAACTAAAAAATTCACCACGTTGGCTATGATACAAAAGGTAGAGGAAGACATTGCCCTATCAAATGGCACTTAGCATTTATGCCATTGACCCAAACGAGCTTGTCAGTATTGAGTAAGCAGGGAGTGGAGGGATACCCAGTATGTCACAAACAATTGCCGGCTAGCCAAACTAAGAGATTTCCACCCGTATGAGTTTGTCAGCATAGAGTTTGGGGTACCGGGTATGTCACATAGTCTGACTAAACTATTGCCGGATAACCAAACTAAAAGATTCTCCATGTTGGCCATGATACCATACAATATTTTATTCTCTAAAATCCAATACTACCAGAGGTAGAGGGTGACATTCCCTCTAAGATGATCTATAACACTTATGCCCTAGACCTATACAAGTTTGTCAGCATAGGGTTTGGGGTACCTGGTATGTCACATAGTCCGACATTACTCTGGCCAGCTGGCCAACCTTAGAGATTCTCCATGTTGGCTATGATACAAAAGGTAGATGAAGACATTGCCCTTTAAAATGGTACTAAGCATTTATGCCCTTTATCTAAACGAGTTTGCCAGCATTGGGTAAATAGGGGGATGAGGGGTACCTAGTATATCACATAGTGTGACTAAACTATTGCCGGGTATCCAAACTAAAAGATTCTCCACGTTGGTCATGGTATTAGAGATCAAGTAAACATTGTCTCTTAAATGGCTCATACCACTTATGTTCTAGAACCGTACGAGTTTGTTAGAATCAAGGGGGGGGGGGGGGGGGGGGGGGTCGGTATGTCACATAGTCCTACTTAACTATTGTCGGATAGCCAAACTAAGAGATTCTCCACATTAGCCATGGTACCATACACCGCTTTATTCTCTTTAATGCAATACTACCAGAGGAAGACGGAGACATTGCTTCTAAGATGGTCTATAGCAGGTATGTACTACACCCGTATGAGTTTGTCAGCAAAGGGTTTTGGGTACAAGGTATGTAACATAGTCCGATTTAACTATTGCCGGCTCGCCAAACTAAGAGATTCTCCACTTTGGCCATGATACAAGAGGTAGAAGAATATATTGCTTCTAAAATGGTTCTTAGCACTTATGCCATTGACCTAAACGAGCGTGTCACTATTGGGTGAAATATGGGAGTAACTGGTATGTAGCATAGTCTGACTTAATTATTGCAGCCCAGAATAACTAAGAGATTCACCACGTTGGCGTTGGTTCCAGAGGTAGAGGTAGATATTGCGTCTGAAATGAATCATTTCACTTATGTGTTAGACTCGCACGTTTTCGTCAGTAAGGGATAAAAAGGGGGCACCTGGTATGTCACATAGTCTAATTTAACTATTACCGGCTAGCCAAACTAAAGGATTGTTCATGTTGACCATGAAACGAGAGATAGGAGTTTGCATTGCCTCTAAAAATTGCCTATAGCACTAATGGCCTAAACCCGTATACATTTTAACATAGGGTTAGGGGGCATGGTATGTCTCATTGTCCAACTTAAATATTGCCAGCTGATCAAACTGAGAGAAGAAGACAATACCAGTACCTCTAAAATGGTTCATAGGTTTTATGCCTAGCCTCGTGCGAGTTTGTCAGTATGTGGGAGGTCCTGGTTAGGAATATGACAATTGTTTTCCATTCGTTTGATGTGTTTGAGCTTTTGATTTTGCCTTTTGATAAGAAACTTTCCGATTTTAATTTTCCTAAGAGTATTTTTGTTATATTACTTTTTATCTTAGTATGTCATAAAGTCCGACTTAACTATTGCCGGCTACCCAAACTAGATTATCCACAGTGACCATGGTACCAGAAGAAGAAGAAGATATTGCCTCTAAAATGGATCATGCCACTTATGCCCTAGACCTTTACGAGCTTGTCAGTTCCAGGTTTGGGAGGGGTGGGGGAACTTGGTATGTC